AAGAACCATGCTAACATTGATTGGACTAGGGTGTCCTTGTTCAATAATTCCATTGTGGCTGCGACATTGCGTGAAGCTGCTAGGACCGGGGCCAGGTTCACTTGGACTAACAAGCAGACGCAGCCGGTGCGTAGCGTGCTTGACCGGGTTTTCTTCACACCCGAGTGGGAGGTGCTCTTCACTCTGTGCACGCTGGTCGCTGAAACGCGCTTTGGTTCGGATCATGTATCGTTGATTTTCTCCTCAGGGGAGGATTACATCATACGTAGCCCTAGATTCTACTTCGAAACGACGTGGTTCAAATATGAGGGTTTCGTGCAAATGGTGGTAGATCGTTGATTGATGATCCGCGCCCAACTTGGGCCGCAACATGGACCGGCAGAATGCTGGAACGCGGCGGCGGGCAAGCTCCGTGCGTTCCTCCGAGGGTGGGGTGCCAACCATGGCAGCGAATCCAAATGGGAACACGCTAGGATTGTAGATGAAATTGCATCGCTGGATGCGGAGGCAGACCGACGCCCCTTCTCGGAAGGAGAGTGGGCACATAGATATGACCTGGAAAACCAAGTCATCGCAATCTTGCGAGCGGAGGAGGAATATTGGCGACGTAGACACGGAGTCAAGTGGGTAACTAAAGGAGACGCAAACACTAGTTACTTCCACGCGTATGCTAATGGAAGAAAACGAAAGTGTGCCATTTTGCGCCTTCAATCAGATAACGGTCTCCTATTAACCCAGGAGCAAATAGTGACCCACATCTACGAGTTTTTCGTTGGCCTTTTGGGGACGGCTGAACACAAAAATCTTTGCCTGCGGGGGGATCTGTGGGATCCAATGGAGCGGGTATCACAGGAGGAGAACGAAGGGCTCGCTCTCTTTTTCCTGCCGGAAGAGATCGACAAAGCCTTGGCCGACATGAAAACAGACATGGCGCCCGGGCCGGACGGGTGGCCGTTCGAGTTTTTCAGGAAGTTTTGGCCGTGCCTTAAGCATCTTTTCTATGAGATTGTCAACGACTTTGCATTGGGTACGGTAGACTTGTCGCGCCTTAACTACGGGGCAATTAGTTCGATCCCTAAG